TATACTGTAGCCCCCCGCCTGAACCCCCCCCCGCCGGACCAGCGCTGACTCGTCCGCTGCTCTCCGGCACTGAAGGACATCGTCGGCGAAGAGGAGCATCGCGTCACTGCTGCTCCGGTGGGCCCCACCTGGAGCTCCACCCACAGCAGTGATGCGACGCTCCTCCGCTCAGCCTGCCCAGGGGACCCCACCACGGAAGGTAAAGTTTAAAAAAAAAAACCAGCGCAAGCTTCGGCGCTATGCATCAGGGCATTTTGACAAGTAGAAGTACTTGTCAAAATGCCCTGTATCGGACCCGATTCCGATGCTAGCATTGGTATTGGGACATTCCTAGTTTGGCGGCCTCAGTATCGCCCCTGACTATACACTTTCAAGGTATGGGATACAGTAAATAAAAGGGGAGAATTGGTCCCTAATATATCCCCTTTAGCACCAATTGGTGGTTTCCCCAGGTTTTTACCAGGAGAGCACTTATTATATTTTCGGACCTGGGTGGTGGAAGGGGATGTTTATTTGGGCAGATTTATGATTGGGAACTCTCTTATCCCATTGGAGGAACTGAGGGAAAAATGGGGCACATTTCCTTTAGATGCTTAGCACTATTTACAACTCAGTAACTTCCTTCGGGAACATATTAGTCTAATTAGGCCACTTGGGTCTTTAACTTTTTTTCGAAAAATTATGTGACTCTAGGTCACCCCATAGTCGCTCTCTATCTCTTATGTATAAAATGCTATTGAAAATAAGCTCAAAAGGTTCTTTGTACTTTATAAAAGAATGAGAGAGTGACATGGGGGTGACTTTTTCGGACGTACAAAAGGACCAAATACTAGCGCGGCCCCATAAATCATCTATAGATTCCAGAGCTCAAGAAACCAATTATAAGGTGCTTACCTGGTGGTATTGTGTTCCATATTCTTTAGGGAAGATTTATCAAAATGTCTCTCCTCTATGTTGGAGGAATTGTGGTTTACAGGGGATATATTTACATGTGTGGTGGGAATGTCCTAAGCAAAAGCCTTTATGACAAGATATTCGAGAACAAATACAGACCATTCTGGGTGAGACTCTCTCGTTTTCTCCTGAGGTCTTTTTGATGCATTTGATGCCTGTGTCAAAGGCTAAATATAAAGCTACAGTTCTGCCTCATCTACTAAATGCAGCAAAGTAAGAACTACAGGCCTACAATGTAAAACAACATATTTGCTTGAAAAACAATGTACCGCTTTTGGTACCTAAAATCATGAATAATCATACCGCCAGGGAGGTTAATACCGAGATTTTGGAAGAGCCAAAAGGTACCTACAAGATCAGATTGGGTAAGGCAGGTTAATTGTATTATGAAATCTGAAAAGTGGATAGCAATGGGTAGAGAGAATCATGATGCGTTCCTCAGTAAATGGGATACTTGGATTGATTACAGCTCGATGAACCTTTAGGGTGGGAAATTTTGAGGGAGGATTTTGGAATATGGAAATATGGTTTTATTAAGACGGTATCCAACTTTTTTTCTTTTTTTTTGGTTGAGGCTTTTTTTCTGGTTTCATCACCTATGGAGTCAGTCCTCTAAATATGCAGTATTTGTTATGTGATATTGGTAATTCAGGATATTCTCTTCTTTTTCTTATGTTTGTTTGTGTGGACATGTATATGTTTTATATGTTTTTGATTGTATAAATATAAAATGATAAATAAAGATTTGAGAAAAAACAAAAAAAAACACTCCCTATACTCCAATATTCATGATACATCAATACTCACTGTAATTCAATACTCTTTATACTTCAATATTCGTTATACCTCAATATTGACATTATGGCCACTAGGAGGAGGAGCTGAGGATAATAATAACAGCTGGTTAACTCTGACAGAAGGAACGTACCTGCAGTTTCTCTACGTGAATGAGCTTAATTATTTTTTTAAATATATAAATAGACTTCTTTATATGTCATGTGACAAAAAGGGGTTACGCCTATTTAAAAAGATATCATCATTATTTGGTACCTGTACATAAAGCCCGGATGCGTGTCGTGTGTAGATATATTTTACATATGGTTGATGGATTTCTCCCTCTGCAGCTGAAGACATGAAGTACACCAGCACACGAGGAGCCGTGTCGGGTGTTGGCTTTGAAGAAGTCCTGTTTGCCGGGTTTGCTGAAGATGATGGTCTGTATATGCCGGAGCAGATCCCGAAGCTAGATGAGCAGACTCTGAGATCATGGAGCTCTTTCTCCTACAAGGAATTAGTGAAGGAAGTGTGCTCTCTGTTTATTCCTTCTGAGCTCATTCCCATGAATGATCTACATGGTATGTTACACATTACAGAAAACCACTATTGCTAAAGTGTTCAAAAATGTTGATTGGTGGCTAAAGGAGAAGTAGCTCCACCTCTAAGTAAGGGCAGCATGATACATACAGCTCTATTTAGCACGTTAGGCAGAACATTGAAAAAACTATGCTCCTTCCATGTTCATGGCCATGTCACACTGGTGATTCTGCCACTGGTAACATCTTGCCATTGGCAGAATCATCAAGATTGCCACTCTAATGGGTGTTGCTCTCTCGTTGCCTGAAACACTATGGTGATAGACTCTTGGAAATTCTGTTGTTGATGATTTGTTCTTGTAATAGGATTGTTAGTATACTTAGAAATATTTAAAAGATAACCAACACAGGTCACTTTAATACTGATATTTAGAAAAGTGTAAAGGTGAGCGCGCCACAGATTTGACTTGGTAACACATCTGTGGAGATCTCATTTTGCAACCAATTCTTACGATGGCCCAAGTTGGTCATGCCAATGAACATTGGTCTGACCTTGCTTTAGCTCTGAGAAGTCCTTGCCAAATTGGTGTTCACAGCTCCACCAATCTTTAATTCTCTAGGATAATTAGTATGACATGGCTCTAAGACAGTAAACAATCCAGTTGTGGTCAACTTTATTGATATCAGGAGCCTTAAGGGCCGGTTCACACCACAAAGGCTGCGTTCCGCAGCATTTGGCCTCTGGAACGCACTGGAACGCAATCCGGCCGACTCCCTGCCTTCAGGGGCGGGAGGGTGGTGTGGCGTGCATTGAAGTCAATGGCACCACAGCCACACACCCCGCCTGCAGTCCTTACAGTATTTTTGCAGATTGCACTGGACTGGATTGCAGGCACTAATGTGCCTGTGTTCCGGGTGCGGGCGATCGCACTGTGAGCGGGGTACATGGCTGCGGTGCTATTGACTTGTATACACCACCATGCCCCCTCCCACCCCTGAACGCAGGGAGCCGACCGGCTTGCATTCCAGTGCGTTCCAGAGGCTGAGCGATCTGGAATGCAGCCTGTGTGGTCACCAGATGGATGCACAAAATATTCAGTGAGTGCAATACTACAGGAAGCCATCGAAGACTGCAGACATGGAACAGGAGATCGTCAAAGACTACATGATTTCTATTAGAGATGGTCAGAGATTGTAGACAAGCAACAAGAGATGGTCAAAAACTACATGCTAGCTACAACAGATGGTCAGAGATTGGATACATGCAACAAAAGATGGTCAAAGACTACAAGCTAGCTGCAAGAGATGGTCAGAGTTTGCATACATGCAACAAGAGATGGTCACAGACTATGGGCTATCTACAAGAGATGGTCAGAGATTGCATACATGCAACAAGAGATGGTCACAGACTATGGGCTAGCTACAAGAGATGGTCAGATATTGCATTCATACAACAAGAGATGGTCACAGTCTATGGACTAGCTACAAGAGATGGTCAGAGATTGCATACATGCAACAGAAAATAGTCAAAGACTACAGGCTAGCCACAAGAGCTCATCAGAGATTGCATACGTACAGCAGGAGATGGTCAGAAACCATGCGCTTGTGGACAGGGATGGTCAGTGACTGCAGACATACTGCTAGGAATCACTGCTATTACAATGCAATAGAGAAACGCAGAGTACTGTCTGCAGGAGCCCTGAGGGGCACACAGAAAGTGACAAGGCTGCTTGTAGCCCTCAGGATGCAGTTGGGCACCAGGGTTCCATGCAGCTTGTCTATCCACTGTCCTCTCATACAAGGGGCACATCTTATCTTGGCGATACCAGACTTGGAGGTGTGTTCTTTTTTGGAGCTGAGTACCTCCCCTGGCTGGCTTCTGTATTACCCCAGCTGTATGCGACTGAATTTGAGGTTATGTTTTCAGCAAGAGCCATAGGAGGGGTAAGATTTGCCTCACACACCCCTGTGCATTCTCTGCATTGATGGAACTATCTATAGAGAATACCAATTGTGCCAGGAATATACACTGAGCTAGACATGGACATTCTTTTCTGACCATATTCACAGGAATTAAAAAAAGATTAAGAGAAAAAAATAGCGTTGCCCCTGGCTAGGTAGGGCAGGACACCTTTCATTTCTTTTTGCTGTGTTTAGGTTGAGGGAGGCAGAATACATACAAACTGCACTTAGGGATTTTACTAGGACTGGGCCCCGGATCTACCATTTCTGCTTGCAGTGCCACCTCCTAGAAATATTTGGTATGACTGTGGAGATAGATTAGCACTGCTCCGGAATAGCTGGACTTCAGTCAGCTGAGCCCCACTATCATCTCATCAATCTCTATTCCTTAATACAGTAGTATATCTATTCCCTGTACAGGTCTCATCGACAAAGCTTTTCTTCGCTTCAGACACCAAGACATAGTTCCACTTACCAGACTAGAAAATGAACTGAATGTGTTGGAAATGTGGCACGGTCCAACTTACTCCTTTAAAGACCTCGCCATGTCCTGTGTGGGACAGTTTTTGGACTACTTTTTGAAGAAAAACAATCGGCATGTGAACATCTTGGTTGGTACGTTATCAACAATAATTCATTGTTATCACACAGGTCATTGAATCTTTACATATTGTTCATAGAACTTCTGAAAGAACGTCAAGTGATATAAAAACGGAGCTACACATGCAAAGTATTTCCACCTCCAAGGAGCCACAGGTGCCATGTACAGCCTTCTGTAGAAGACAATGGCTATACGCATGTATATCCCTGACTCCTGTCAACACAGGTGCACACTGTTGGAAATACAACAGCCTATGCTGATATGTACTGATTTCTATTACTGACATTCAGAGATGTAACTATGTCTTTTGAGCACTAGATGGCGCTGTAGTGCAATGCTAGTCTATGTTAGTTTTCTATATTCATGCTTACTTGTCTGTGATACACAGGAAGTTCTATCTATATGTTTCCTTCTCTATGCTCTATAATGCTGTATAATGCAGTTTTCTGATATAATGTTCTTCTCAACAAGTAAAACTTATTTCAGCATTCCTCAAGATCTCAGTGCTTCATCTAAACACATAACCAACACACACAACCCTGAACACAGAAAGTTGTGCACCCGTACTCATGCCAATGTTAACACAAGTTCTATGTATGCCCGTGTAGAGCCATTGACTTCTATGGGAGGCTATTTGGGGCACCTATGGCTTCCTGTCAGGGGAAATACACTGAAATGTATGTTGTATGACCACAGGTGGCCATGTACAAGAGCCCTAACAGTGCTGCCATCTGCTGGTGTGGTAAGACTGTGGAGGCTTTAGTTTTTATTCAGCTCTAGTATATTCTTTGAGGTTCTTGATACTAGTGATCTTTTTTTTTTATTACCAGGTCAACCACCTTAAAGGAACCATGTACTGAGAGAGTACCACGGCTGCCATTGTTGACCTCTTTTTCTGAAAATGCGTGCTGCCTGGTTGTCATGATGATCCAATGGCTTCAATGCCTCTGGAGTCACTGGTCCCTGTTGGGGACATTGACCTCTTCTATTTGCCCTAGTGACTATGAAAGTGAAAGAAAATCCCAAATTTTGGGTTGTCACCAGAATTGGAATAAATGGAAAATCTTCCAATGGTGACACTAGTTCAGGTGATCCTGCTGACAACCAGGGATTTCCATCACCCTGGAGGTCCCATTGGGGAGATTTCCCTTCACTTTCTGTCCTATAGCCACAACTGGAAGTGAAAGGAAATCCCTCCAAAGTGACGTACGCCCAGCCCAAACCCGCCGTACGTCAATCCCACGTGACTATACACAGTTCTGAACCGAGCGTGGCATCACAAGGACGTGGCGATACCACACTCAGCCTCACCCTGAAACCCACACAGGGCTGGATTTCCCACAAGGCCAACCACGGCCTGGCCTTGGGGCAGCAGGGAGTAGAGGGGCAGCAGGGGTGTGGAATTCCTATCTCCCGATGAACTGGACATGCAGTTCCGGGCAGGTAGTTGTCTTCTACATTTAGCCCTGCTGTGGGCAAAATGTCGCCGAGATCACTTGCATGCAGACTGCAGGTCTGCCATTCTCCATAGGCGGGGGGTTGGGGAGTAGGGGGTGCATTGAGGAACCTGACCTTGGGGCAGCAGAGAGAGTAAATCCGGCCCTGCCTGCACAGAGATTTCCCAGCTCGCAGGACACAATCTCAGACCAGCCGACTGAGAGCAATCATCACCAGGGTTGGTTAACTCCGCAGTTAACCCTTTACCCACCAAACGTTCGCTGCCACCATGTGTTTTTTAACGGAAACACTGACCATGCCCAGCAAGTGCTGTGACAATTTAAAACACTTAAACAGTGCCTATGATACCGCTTTCCTCTCAGGCAGGAATATGATGGGATTCACTACCGTGTTTCCCCGAAAATAAGACACTGTCTTATATTTTTTTGGGCTCCAAAAACACGCAAGGTCTTATTTTCCGGGTAGGTCTTATTTTTTTTTTTAATGTATAACAATCCAAAGTTAACGCAAATCCAAATTAAATAATCTAAAATGGCAAAGTTAAGAATAGGGTGATCAGGGCAATCAGGGGTGCCGCACCTTTCCAAGAGCAATTTGGTAACCAGAATGGGCGAAGCGCGCTTTCACTATGGATTCCTCACAGGGGGAGTGCATTAGGTATCACTCCGTCTGTGACAGGAGCCGGCGCTATAGAGGAAGCATTGGCTTATGTGGCTCTGCTCCTTCCACTGCAGCCTCGCTTCCTCTAGCGCTGGCTGATTCTCTCCCGCGGCTCTTCAAGTTCCCCCTTATCACATCACCGGCCCTGGGAATGGTCACAACTAGGTCTTATTTTCGGGGAAACACAGTATATAGTAGCGCTCTTCAGAGAGGCAAGGACACTTTTAAGTTCGTATTTAAAGATAAGCGTAATGATTTTTAAGATCGTCCTTCAATAAAAGAAACGGTGCAGAAAATATACAGAAAAAGATATTAAATAAAAAGAGACAATATATATATACAACAGTAAAATGAAAGGGAATAAAGGTAAATAATTAACAGTCCTGGTTTTAAGAGTTCTGACAGAGTTCAGAGTTCAATACGCCGAAGAGAGGTCTGACGGGCCCTTCATCAAGAAAGCTTTCAACAGATGATGACCAGAGATTAAAGGGGAACTCTTCTGAGATGTTAAGACTTCTTGATGTTGCTGGTGATTCTTTCTTGATGTTTCAAAACATAGCAGGAGGAAGATGAACCTTTATTTTACACTATCACCGCCCAATTCCAAATTATGAAATAGAGCTGATATTGTATTCAGGTGTATGACTTTCGGGTGAATGCTGGGTCACCTGGGTCATTACCTCTACCAGACCTGCTTGTGTTTGTCTACTTGTCCACTGGTGACCGATGAGTGTCTGGTGATATGCATTTAATTAGGGACAGCTATAAAAGGTTTAGAGGTGATGTGGGACTCACTTATGCAGGGGGGCTATAAAGATCCCAGGCCAGATAGCTGATGTCTGTTCTATGGAATGTGGAGGGACCTGGCAAATGACTAAATGAAAGCCGGCATTTGCTCTGAACTGGGGGGACAAGAGAATGCTATTTTTAAAGGAGAACTATGAGGTGAGTGATTTTCACTCAACCACATAGTTCGAGCCGACGTGTGACAATGAAACTGTCACACGTCGGCTCAATAGATCGGGAAGTGGGCGAACACATACCATCGCTCGCTTACTTCTCGATCTGCCTCTAGATAGGCAGAGCCAGCTGTCACTCACGCAGCTGGGTGGATCTCGACAGTAATGTCGGGATCCGTCCCAGCTGCGGTGGTCTCAGTATACCGCAAGCTGTAGCTAGCGGTATACTGAGCTTTGGGTCACGGGAGGATGCTAGTTTATGTCCTCCCGTGACCCTTAGGAGACCTATGGGGAAAAACACTTACCCAATAGTTATCCTTTAATATTCAGACTCAAACCCCATTATCCTCACAGTCACCAGAACAAGTGTCCCCACAGGAAGATTTCTTAACTATTCCTGTTCTGATGACAACCCAAAATTTGGGATTTTCTTTCACTTTCAGGGATAACATTCCCCAGGACAAATAAAGAGGGTGAATCTCCCTAGTAGGGGCACAGACAGCAATAAAAACCTGACAGATGTTCTAATCCCTCTCCACTCCATCCAAAACTTAAAAAAAAGAAGCTTTTGGCTTCAGTTGCACTTTAAGTCACTGAAAGTTCCACTTTAACCCCTTGTTTTCTGCACCCACATTGTGCTAATGTATTATTCAGTGTCGCTTGTTCAACTTTCAGCAACATCTGGAGACACAGGAAGTGCTGCAATTGAGGGTGTTCGAGAAAATCCAAATATTGATATTATTGTTCTGTATCCACTTGGACGATGTACTCAGATCCAGGAGCTGCAGATGATAACAGTGTTTGAAGACAATGTTCATTTGTATGCAGGTATGTTGCCTGTACAGTACATAATACAGTAGTATTATTCAGGGGTTAAAGATGAAGTTTAATCTGCCTATATTTTGCCGTCCTTGGGTTCCTCCTCTGTATTGAAATGTAGCAATTGTAGGAAGTGTGAGCCAGCCCTCTAACTCATTTAGCTGTGTGTGTAATCTGAGCTTCAGATATCCATGTTTGTGAATAACAAGCTTTGATAGCGATACAGCTCTAAGGAGAGAAATAAATAATTTTCTTCAGTTTAAATCACTAGCTGCTGATTGGAAATGTATTTATTTACTTGACTAAAAAATATTTAGGATAGATTTATTTTCTTATACATGAATATTATAAAAAACATATATACTAAACACTGTACATGCCTTTGAAGGTATTTACAAAATGCCCAATAGGTAGATCATGTTAGAGTGGAAACAATTTCATTACTACGGGTTTAAGCTATAAAAGTTCTGACCGGCCTATAGGCAGACACATTACACTAGTGCCCCTAGAGGGCGCTGAAGGAATTTCTTATACTCGTCAGCACCATCTAGGGGCGCTAGTGCTGCTCAAACAGCATAGCTGGGTGAAACTTTTATAAATAACCCCTAAGTGATTAAGTCGGAATGTGTAAGATATTGTACATCCTCCACGCACATGAACGATCACACTATAAGGGGTCCTGGTGCCGAAGCTAGCCGAAGGATCGGCCGAAGCTACGGCCAGATCCTTCGGCAGCTTTGTGAATAGACCCCTAAATATCTCTACAGTACATATTCCTATAAGATGAATCACCTCTAAACTTTCCCCCATCTCTCTGCAGTTGAAGGGACATCAGATGAGCTGGATGCACCTGTAAGAAAACTCTTTGCAGATACAAGTTTTGCAAAAAAGCATAATTTAATGAGCATCAACTCCGTCAACTGGGCTCGAGTGATGGTGCAGATAGCCCATTTCATCTATGGGTACTTCCGATGTGCTCCAGCATCACAGGAAGGAACGCTGCCCCCGGTGGAGATAGTTGTACCAACAGGCGGAGCAGGGAACATTACAGGTAAGAGAAGGGCAACATGATGCTGCTGTAAGGAACAATTTAGAATAACTCTGTCAGGTTTTTTCAGCTTTTAAAAGTTAAAGGAGAACTATGAGGTGAGTGCTTTTCACTCGCCTCATAGTTCTAGCCGACCTGTGACAATGAGACTGTCAAAGGTCGGCTCAGTAGATCGGGAGGTGAGCGAACACATACTGGGTTCGCTCACCTCTCGATCCTGTCACGGCTCTCTGCCGTGACAGGGGGAGGGGCTGGATTCCCCTCTCCCCGCTCCGATCTGCCAGAGCTGACTGGCGGAACGGACGGGGGAGGGGGCGGGTACAGCTGGCTCTGTCTCTAGATAGGCAGAGCCAGCTGTCACTCACGTCGTCTAAGTCGGGATCCGCTCCGGCGTCTCAGTATACCGTGAGCTGTAGCTCGCGGTATACTGAGCTTAGGGTAACGGGAGGACGCTAGTTTGTGTCCTCCCGTTACCCTAAGGAGAACTATGGGGAAAAACACTGACCCCATAGTTCTCCTTTAAATACTATCTGCAAGTATAGGGCCCTCAAATCCCCTTCCAGCACCATTTTTGCCCACCAAAGCCTCTTCTGCTTATTCCCTTTGACCTGCTTTAAAGCAGAACTGTAGCCATGAATAATGAAGGAGTTGTTATGTGCCATTGAGGCATGGAGTCTACGTGACAGTTGGTCCTTACCAGAGCTCCCAATGGTGGAGATGGGCTGGGAATGCGTGTGGTCCAGGTTTTCTTTACTATAAATTGGCACTAGGATTTGGCCCATAGGATTGCCTTACTAAGGGGGTGATTGAAACGGAAGGGCTAGAGTCTGTTAACCAGTCAGTAAGCAAGAACGTAGTCAGGTCCAGGAAAAGGCCATGGCAAGAGAGTAGTCGGGTCCAGGAAGAGATTGTGGCAACAGAGTAGTCAGGTCCAGGAAGAGGTCATGGCAAGACAGTAGTTAGGTCCAGGAAGAGGTCATGTCAAGACAGTAGTTAGGTCCAGGAAGAGGTTATGGCAAGACAGTAGTCAGGTCCAGGAAGAGGTCTCGGCAAGAGAGTAGTCAAGTCCAGGTTGTCGCCAGAGAGTAGTCAGGTCCAAGAAGAGGTCATGGCAACAAAGTAGTCGGGTCCAGGAATAGCTTGTGGCAAGAGAGTAGTCAGGTCAAGGAAGAGGTCATTACAAGAGAGTAATCAGGTCCAGGAAGAGGTTGTGGCAAGAGTAATCAGGTCTAGGAAGAGGTCGTGGCAAGAAAGTAGTCAGATCCAGGAAGAGGTTGTGGCAAGAGAGTAGTCAGGTCCAGGAAGAGGTCGTGACAAGAGAGTAGTCAGGTCCAGGAAGAGGTCGTGCCAAGAGAGTAGTCAGGTCCAGTGGAGTCGGCAATGGGCAGGTGACAGATTCAGTATTATAGCCCTCTGTTGCTGGTAAGAAATCACAACATCGGCCACCAGAAGGGAATGGCTTCAGGCCTGTGAGCAAGCCCAGTATCAGGGATGCATGCCAACGTTCACACACATTATGAGCACAACCAACCATAGCCTAAAGGCCATGAGCTGACACGTGCGCAAGGACAGCTGTGCATACATGTTTCCTAGAGGTACTGTAACAAGCATGCTCTAGTCCCTTGGTTCTCAGCTGGTGGGTCGTGACCCAAAAGTGGGTCGCAACCCTGTGTTCAGTGGGTCGCCGCTTGCCTTCCACCTTTCTAGGTGAGAGGCTCCACTGCCTCCCCCTAGCTTATCACTGTCAGTTCTCGTGCCGAGCAGCCATTCAAAATATGCTGCCCGGTGCCAAGTGTCAACTTGAGGTGGGGTGGGCTGGGGTTATTGCCATGAGGGAGCTCCATTCATACTTGCATTCATACTTGCATTCCCAACAGCACCCTCACATGTCCTGTAGAGGTGCCTGGACCGGAGTGATGTCACATTCTGGCTCCTGGCACCTCTACAGGTGATACACATATGGATGGCGCTCCATCACAGCGCATTCTGGTGTGGGAGTGCATTGCACCCACAGTTCTAACGCCCGCATCGGAACGCGAGGTACCACATGCCGTGCGTTCCCTTGTAGTTCAACTTGGGTAGCGACATAATGACCAAGGACAAATGTAGGTCCTGAGGTTACACCAGTTGAGAAACGCTGCTCTAGTCTATTAATATACAGAGTTATAATTTCTACAAGGTAATATGCAGCATAGTGGTTGGCATCAGTCGATAAAAACAGATTCCGGAAATTCTGGAATGAATATTCCTGACGTCACGGCGGCAGAGCAGCTCCCACAACATCGTCATGATAGCAACAGAGGTAGCTTGTGCCACATTGATACTTTGTCTTTGGCTCAGAGTATCTATATCCACAAAACCACAAGTTCTCTGACATCCACAAACCCTGACCGACTTCTGCTCTTCATGCTAATGCGGGAGCGGAGGAGATTGGCATCTTGGTGTTACTGGGCATGCGCGGGATTGTTATCGGGATGTAGAGCTAGAGAAAAGAAGAAGCCGACCTCACTGTGCCAAGTGAGCAAGATAACTATTGCTTTCTTCTTAGATATTGTTCACTTTAAGGTTAGAAAAAATCCAGTAGGTAGATTTTTTGGGTAAAAGAGGCTTTGTATGTCTCATATGCCAAAACTCATCTTTACCTGTTTGATAATATGTTCTGGGGTGCATTGTAGTCCAGTATAGTGTACACTGAGACTGGAGATGCAGCTCCGACACGCATGGGAATCACATCAACAGTGGCCACCCAATGGCCATAGAAAGAAGACGCCAGTGCAGGAAGACAATTCAAAAATATAGACTTGCCGGTGACGATGAGCGTGGACACTTAGCATACTATTCATTCACATCAGTCCCTGCACCCAAGGAGCTTACAATCTATGTTCACTATCTCATATGCATACATACTTGGGCCAGTTTAGGCAGGAGCCAATGAACTGACCAGTATGTCTTTGGCGTACCAGAGGGAAACTGGGGTACCCGGAGAAAAGCCAGGCAAGCACAGAGAGAACATGCAAAGCAGAGATACTAACCACTGAGCCACCTTTGCTACCTATCTGTTAGCTGAGATCTGCAGAACCCTTACACAGCCTTACCCTGTCTCTGTTCTGTTTCCTCTCTCAGCGGGCTGCATCGCTCAGAAGATGGGGCTGCCCATCCAGCTGGTTGCTGCTGTAAATAAAAATGACATCATTCACAGAGCTGTGCAGAATGGAGACTTCTCATTGAGTGATACAGAGAAGACGCTGGCTTCTGCAATGGATATTCAGGTATTATACATTATACAGCTGAGATACATCCATACGTATTGGACTGCTTGTCTCGTAGGTGTGGCAAGGACAGCAGTCTGAACAGGTCAATCCAGAAATCCTGCAAACTTTCCCTTCTTCCCAGGAAATTCTACGTCATCACAAGCTGAACTCCAGGCAAATAGCAAAAGCTGTTTAGGCTTACAAAGGATTTGTATATGTGCTCATCCAGTTCAAAGGTTTAAACAGCTCTGCCTCACAGAACAACCCTGCTTGAAGGACAGGAGACCTGATTTTCCCTGTTCTAGTTCAATAGCATACATTGGCCTTTTCCCCACCCCACCCCACCCCGCCCAAGCTTGTGATTTGACAATAAAAGAAGGATCAGCAGACTGGCAAGTTCACTTCTTTGTCACACTGATCCCTCCTTCTATCACCATACTCCATACAGTGCAACACACCTGATTGGCTGCTTGTGCTGCTTCTCTCTCCGCCAGTGTGAGCTCTGCTGCTCAGCGACTGTAAGAGGCTGATACAGACATATTAGAGTACTTACACTGCTCACATTTAAACAATGCATTTAAAGTACTCAGGGCAAAAAAAAACGTACCCTTGCAGTGGGGCTGCCCCTGCACTGTAAGGGTTTTCACTCATTTTGTCTATAGACTTAAATAAAGCAGAAAGTAAAAAACGCTACATCTCTGTAACACATGCCCATTTGCTCATGCTTTGTCTCTTCGGTGGCCCTGCAAGAAAACAGACAAATAGCTGTTGATTTTTCAAAAATGCCCTCAGCTCCTAAATCATGTAGTAGGCTGACAAACACACGTGTTTTTGTGTTTGTACTTAGTGGTGTCAGCCCTGCCAATTGTCTTTTTTCTAAACTGCTGTAAACTGTTCAACTGCTCCTGCTCCCTTTATCTGTACAACAGATAAATGGCACCTTTTCAGACTGGGCTAGTCTAATGAGCGGTGTGCCTCAGGGTTCTGTGCTGGGTCCCATATTGTTCAACTTATTTATTAATGACATCGGGGAGGGTGTTAACAGCGATATTTCCGTGTTTGCGGATGACACCAAAATTGGGAGGGTAATAGACACGGACTTAGACATTATAACATTACAGGAGGACCTGGATAAAATAGGGGAGTGGGCATTAATGTGGCAGATGAGGTTTAATGTCGATAAATGCAAAGTAATGCACTTTGGAATTAAAAATAAACAAATGGGTTATACAATTATGGGTATGCCGCTAGGGAAGTCAGAAATGGAGAAGGATTTGGGGGTCATTGTAGACCACAAACTGAAAGGTAGCTTGCAGTGCCAGGCTGCTGTAAACAAAGCTAGCAGGGTCTTGTCCTGTATTAAAAAGGGGATGTATTGCAGGGACAAGTCTATAATTTTGCCACTTTATAGATCATTGGTTCGACCTCATCTGGAGTACGCGGTCCAGTTCTGGTCACCAGTACTAAGAAAAGATGTCCTTGAGTTGGAAAAAGTCCAGCGAAGGGCAACCAAACTAATTAGGGGTATGGAGGACCAGAGCTACGAGACGAGGCTACTAAATTTAAACATGTTCACATTGGAGGTGAGGAGATTAAGGGGGGATATGATTTCCATGTACAAAATGTTTAATGGTGGTAGCAACATTAGCGATAAACTGTTTAAAATTAACTCCGTTACAAAAACTAGAGGCCATCACCTAAAATTGGTGGAAAAAAAATTCCAGCACAAGGGGCGAAGGGGGTTCTTCACAGTAAGATCAGTTAGGGTCTGGAACTCACTGCCACAGGCGGTGATTTCAGCAAATAATGTGGAATTGTTCAAGAAACTTTTGGACGATTTCTTAAGGGACCGTAATATACAGGGGTACAGGTACTCCTAGAATGAGATCCTAATAGGTTGGACTTGATGGACTAATGTCTTTATTCAACCTCAAATACTATGTAACTATGTATGTAACTATGTAACATAGACACTAATCTTTCTCTAGTCCGAAGATAAGAACTAGGAGGGCTAATTAGGCTCATTAAGATAACACAGGAAGGGAGCACAAGACAGCTCTGAATTTTTCGCAGGATCATCAGGCACTTACTGAACAGATATAACAAAACACTTCCAATAGTAAATATACCAAACTAAAAGGGAGCAAACAGGAGAAGTTCATTGTTAGAGTTTACATACACTTTTAGCTGCTCTGTTTAATTGGTGGCGGATTCACATTGTTGGGGTTGGTTACTGCATGCACACTACTTTGTCATTTGGCGCCAGAGCATCCATCAGGAATTTTGGGGCCCCGTACGCAGCTTTAGGCCCGCCCACTAACACTCCAGAGGTCCATCCACTGGCTGTCCCACTGCGTCCGCTCACTGACCATTCCACCAAGTCAGCACACTGACCGTCCCACCAAGTCTGCACACTGACCGTCCCAACAAGTCCGCCCACTAGCCATTGCACCATGTCTGCCCACTGGCCATCCCAACAAGTCCGCCCACTAGCCATCCCACCAAGTCTGCGCACTGGCCGCCCCACCAAGTTGACCCACTGGCCGTCCAACCAAGTCCGCCCACTGGCCATCCCACTGGGTCGTTCAGTGCTCCCACTTTGATTTTAACACTCTTACAACTTAATATATGAAAATGAAAAGTGTATTCCAAGTGATCAGTGCATTTAGTATTTAGGAGTAAGGAAATGTATTTTGGTCAAAGCAAAAACTCATTGGTTGGGGCCTGGGCCACCCAGACTGTCTGGGCCCCTTACATGTGTATCAGCTGTACCCCCCTGATGGCGGCCCTGTTTGGCGCATTAGCATGTGCTACATTAAGGCAGCCCATCCATTTTGAATGGACTGACAATGCAAAGTAATGCAATCCAGATTTTTACAGCCCTGCTCTGACAGATGTTACGGTGTGGTATGCATGTGCATTTGGCTGTCAATCAAAATGAATGACACCACAGCACAAAGCACATTGTTCCGTGCATTACTGCAACACAAATCGATGTGAATCCACCTTTACTAAATAGGATAATACTTCTTTCTGCCACTACCATCCTCTCCACATAATTGCATTTTTCCCTCTCCTAATTTCTATTTGCTGAACTTCTCCCTCTTCACCAGATGCAAATTCATGTTATAAGTATCTTGAATATTGCAGAACAAATGCTGCTGAACTTCGGGAAGGGGATCTAAGCAAGACAGTGCACTCAGATGCCGATAAATGCTCAGAATGCAGTAATCATCTACTGACATTTAGTGGACAAATAGCAGAATGCAACGAATATGGACTACAATCTCAATACAAATTAGTAAACTAAACATGAGATTGTCGTTTATCACGGGAGTGAGCTTGCAGCCGTGACCACTTCACAACACACACAGGGACCATGGGGAACAAAAGTAGCCACTCTCCAGAAGGAAGGACAGTGTCAGCACCAATTTACAGATGATCTACAGCCGAGTGATACACAAATAAGATACTATTTTTGTTAATAGTTAAGGGAGTTGAATGTATTTTTATGATTTATCTCCTGAGTTTAGTGTCACTTTAATCATCTAGTGGACCAATAGCAGAATGCAATGCATAGTTTACTGTAACATCTGCTGCGACTCATCCAGTACAAAATGAAGGTACAACCATCACTCCATACTTGGCTGTAGATCTCTGTTAAGGTCTTGTTATAGAATTTAGGTTATTGAACTCCTGGAACAAAAGAAGCCAAACACCCGTCCACTGAAACGTCGTAAATGACGTTTTACCTTTTACAGGAGCCGTACAACATGGAGAGAATATTGTGGCTGGTTACTGATGGGGACGGTGGAAGAACTAAAGCCATGATGGAAGAATTTAATGCTGAGAAACAGCTCAGATTACCGGCAGAGCTTCACCAGAAGGTAGATCGTGAACACTTTAATGGTTATTTGACTCCCATGGATTCTGTGTCAGTTTAATTATTTTTAACCACTTGGTGACCTGGGTGTTAGACTCCCTTCCTGTCCAGGCCGTTTTTCGGTATTCAGCACTGCGGTACTTTGACTGACATTTATTCCGTCATTCAGCGCTGTACTGAAATACATTTTATACCATTTTTTGGGAAAGATAGAGCTTTATTTTGGTGGTATTTAATCACCACTGGGGGTTTTATTTTTTACTATATAAAGAAAAAGTAGCGGACATTTTGAGAAAAAAAAAAACAGTTTTCCCTGCGTTATGTTATGAAACATTTATTATTACCCAATCTTTTGGTAAAACATAAAAGACGGGGTCACGGGTAAATAGACACCAAACATGTCAAGCCCTAAAATTGTGCATGTCTGTGAAATCGCATAGGCGACGCTTTAAAGCTTTTACCACTCATCAGTTTAGTGTTATCAGTGATTGAAGCCCTAAAATTATTGCTTGTCATTTGCAGCACTATGTAATATGTGTGGTATAATAGTCGTTTCCACTTGTAGGGGCATCCAACGCATGTTTGTGTTTGTACGTGGGGTTGGGGCACTTTAACCACTTGCCGTCCGCCCGTTGTAAAAAAACGGACGGACGGCACTGCAGCATTGGTGGGTTGCCGTCTCTGGACAGCATTTTTTTCTGCTCGCGCGCACCCCCTAGCGGGCGCGTACGGTCGGAAAGGACCCGACCAATGCAAATACCCGTTACCGCGTGTTTCACATATAGACGATCGGCGGCTCCATAGCCCGCCGATCGTCTATATGTGCTCGTTTTTGCAAAACCCCCCTGACCCCTCACCTTCAATCCTGGATCCGCTGCCCCATCTGCGGCCCGTGACCGGCTCGGGAGGGCGTCAGGAGGAAGAGGGAGAGAGATCAGCTCCTTGCTGATCTCCGCCCGGGCTGTGAATGCAGAAGTGATGTGTATTACATCACTTCCGCATTCACCTGTCAGTCATCTGGCTGCTATAGCCAGAGAGAAGAAGCTGATGAAGCATATCTCTGCTTCATCAGCTTCTTTTGGGGTCCACAGGTGACTTTAGGGGTCCTAGAGACCCCTAATGTCTCCATAAAGAGGACCTGTCAGTGTGCCTTTGCTATTATATAGGGGGATTGTTATCCCCCTATATAATAGCAATAACAATAAGTGCAAAAAAATAAATATAAATAAAAAAAAATAAAAGTAACACATAAAAAAGTAAAATAAAATAAAAGTCACATATAAAAAAAGGGGAAAAAAACCCCCCAAAATGTTTAACTCCCCCACCCCCACGTTTACGCGCCTATAAACGTAAATACGCGTCCGGTGCCCCAGCGCGCAAAAATTACAATTGCGCTACACATGTTACATATCGCCGCGAACGTCGCAGTGAGAGCAATCATTTTAGGGCCATCAATCACTGATAACACTAAACTGATGAGCGGTAACAGCTTTTAAAGCGTCGCCTATGGCCAATTTTGGGTATTATCATTTTTTTGAGGTTTCGCGCGCGCACGCAACTTTAAGGCTTGACATGTTTGGTGTCTTTTTACCCGACGTGACCCCGTCTTTTATATTTTACCAAAAAATTGGGGCCCCATGATTTGTAGTTGAATAAATCTTCACCCAACATTTTTCTTTTTAGTTTAGTTTTGGACAGAATGTGGAAGGGTTAGACCCCCCATCAAGTCTTGTCCCCACTTGGGAGATACACCCCTCTGTTGTTCCTGGTGACCACTGGCACTGGAAGAAAAGGAAATCCAAAATTCTGTGTTGTCACCCAGACAGAGTGTTCCAAAGGGGACAAGCGGTAGTGCCAGATTCTACCTGATTTGATACTAACGCAAAGTCTAAAGGAGATTGTACAGTCAGATTGTATAGTGTATAACCAGATTAGCACAGGATTTCCCCTCACTTCCTGTTGAGTCTATGGGACAGGAAATAACCTGAGACGGGTTTTAACTCTTCCCTACTCCTGGCATTAAAAAAAAATGTAAAGCTGAACGGAAAATTTGCTGATTTAGGGACAAATGCATTTGCTGAGACCCGTTCCTACTATTATATTGACTGATATTTGGTATTGTGTTCCAATCCTCCGCAGCTGCGGGGAATGATGACATCCTGCTCTGTTAATGATGATGACATTCTAAGGACAATTGGACGCTGCTGGGAGGAGAACCGATACCAGCTCTGCCCTCACTCTGCCGTAGGAGTGACTTATCATTACCAGCAAACCGACAGCAACCAGGACAAGTATTTCACATTCATAGCAGTTATTATATGAATGGCACAGACAACACATGTAACAATTAGGGATGCACCAATACCGATATTTCGGTATTGAGTATGAGAACAGATTTTTTTTTCCCGGTACTCGCCGATACCAAATACTGATATCGGAAGTCCCATTAAGGAAGCCAGGCAGCATGTAATGACTCGCCACCTGGCTTCCTGATTAGCCGGGAAGTTGTCCCCATGCTGCTCGTCACTAGGTGACGAGAAGCATGGAGCAGGCTTTCTGGCCAATCAGGAAGCCGGGCACTGTGAAATGATGCTTCCTGATTGGCCGGGAAGCCGACTCCATGCTCCCTCGTCCGGATTGGCCAGCTTCCACATCAATATGTGTTCAAATAGTATTAAACTCTCCAAATGTTTTCCAATACTGAATCCAGATATTGCCCAGCAAAGTATTTCTTTTAGACATCTACATGGCTGAAAATTGCGCTTCACTTTCATTTTGTTCGATTCAGATTTTTTTTCATTCTCTAAAATTCACATCCGTTCGATATTGGATTTTGGAATTCTGATGACTCTATTTCGATGGAGTTTAGTGTGTTGCTGAACATGAAACTTGAAAAAAAGAATAGCGTGGGGGGACAGTGGCATCTGGGTGCCCCTTTCATGAAAGGGGGCACCCAGATACAGATAAGCCCCCCTGGCCGCATACCCCTACAACCACAGGGGCCAGGTCCTTGTCCTCATCAGCATGGCGACCCTTCCCAACTTCCCAATGTTGAGGCCAAGTGGCCTGGTATGGTGCGGGGGATGTTTAGGTGTTATATTCCTAACTGTGCTTTAAAGGCCTTTTATTTCCTTTCTCTCAGCAGACCCCGATGTTGTTTGGCACCAGCTTCAGCTGCTAAATTTCCGGAAGTCATTGTACAAGCCAATCTCACCCCCGAACCCCCGGCAGACATCCAGGAATTGAGAAACAAAAACTGGAGCTATACACACGTGACGAAAGAGGACGATTGGGAAGAACTACTGCGAGAAAAAATTAAAATAATTGACAGTGATGACTGAAAGAACTGAACGCTTACATTCATTCTACAACAGCGGAAGGGAATACAAGTGTGATTTTTTTTTTGTCATTTGTAACTGCTTATCGACAAACATAATTTCCCAGAAAAAGAAAATAAGAGAAGCAAGAAAAATAAACACAATGGATGATTAAAGCCATTTTGTGTTGTATGTTGTGTCAATTAACGTGCTGTACATAAACAAACAGACAGGGGCATATTTACAGAAAAAGCAGAGAATCGGAAACTCAGCAAACATTCTCTGCAAGTGAATCTGTCTTTTAAATGGTGATTATTAATTCTCCACCATTGGAGAAAGTCACATTCACTGCTTTATAAACAGACCCCATGAAAAATAAAAGTTTTATCATTACAAAGTAACCATCTGCCAGCTTCTGGTACCTCTCTGGAACTACAGTATAGCAAAAGCAGTTGTGAAGAAGACATGTCTCCTAGATCAGTGGTTGAGGATGAATGTTACCAGCACACCAGGAGTAAAGAAGTCCAAAGTGATCGTTTCTTTAAAACGTCATGTCATCAGAACTGGCGCTTTTAGGGGCCGCTCAGGGTGCCCTTTACCAGGCTCAGCTGATCACTTTGGACTTCATTACTCCTGGTGTGCTGGTGACATTCATCCTCTATCATTGTCTGGTGGCAACATCCACACTCATTACAAGTACCCCCTCTCGTTGAATTGTGGAAGTGCGACAAGGCAACTCTACGTTTCTTCCCTAGATCAGTGATTCTCAACCTGTGTAACCTTAGGGCCCACATTTGTCCTTGGTCATTTGTCCTAGGGGTGCCGGGAGCCAGAATGTGGCGTCACTCCAGTCCAGACACCTCTACAGGGCACGTGAGGGAGCTGTAAGTAATGCACGTATGGATGGAACTCCCTCATGGTCATACCCCCAGCCCACCTCAAGCTGACACTCGGCCATCTCTTTCCCAGTCTCATGGGCTGACTGTATCACTTTCTCTGTTGAAGCTTTCTACAGAACCTAATGCTGTTACACCGCCCACAACATAGGCTGCACATTCTCTGATAAAGATTAAAATCTACAGGGGGACTGGAGCTAGGAGTGGTCTCACCAATTCAATGTAGATCCCCACAGTCAAAGAACCTTCTGTAGACCCTGAAGGTTGGGAACATACAATGGCCAACGTATCAAAAGTTCTTAGTTGGACTGTGACAAAGGCATGTTCCAGGAATTCCCTTGCTCTTGAAACTAATTACAAAGTTTTATTTAGATCAGGATTTCTTAAAGTGTGGGTTGTGAGCCCATATGCGGTTGCACAAGTGAATGGGGGGAGTTGCGATCCGAATTCCCGGCCAGGGCCGATATCGGGGGTTACAGCCAGCACTTGTGTGAGGGGACCAGGAAGAGTGAGGACAGAGACACCGACCAACCCTCCGTCCATGGCGGCGGGGGGGGGAGCTGGGGAGGAGGAGAGAGGCACCGACTGATGCTGGGAGGGGAGTGGAGGAAGAGAGAGACACCGACAAGGGGGGAGAGAGAGAGAGACATTAAGGGGGGGGGAGGAGGAAGATGTGCTGATTGGCTGGAGGGGGGGAAGAGGGGAGAGACACCGACCGGCGCTGGGGTCTCGTAAAAATTTCTGCAGCTGAAAAGGAGTCACGAGTGGTAAAAGTTTAGGTAGGCCTGATGTAGATGGTCCCTAGTAACTTCCGGCATTTTACTCCGGAACATGAAGGTAAATGCTTTTTGGGGTGTCCTGATACGTGCACTTTTATGCACATCTGGAAGACATGCCTATTGCATGGACTAGGCATGATATTATGGGCAAAATGCAAGTAATACCAAAACAGCCGAAAATGTGGCTGAAAATGCGGTGCATCCGCACTGCTCTCCCCTGCCTGTGTTGACAGAAGCAGTGGGGATTGGAGGGGACACAGTGCCCATCCAGCTGCCGGTGCCCAGCAGGGAGGAGAGAAGCTTCCAGTGCGGGGAGGAGACAACTGTCAGGAGGATGAGCGGAGTTGTCCGGGAGGAGAGTTTGTCTCCTATGTCAGGCGGAGCAGTCAGGATGGAGAGTGGAGCACAAAACACTCAGCGATCAGTAGAGTTTGTAAATAACTGATGAGATAGTAAGCTTACCATGTCCCCAGTTATGAATGAGTAGGAAGTACTATACATCACTTCCTGTTCGTTTATGAATAGGGTCATAGTAAATATTTACTATCTGCTTACTTTATGAATAAACAGGTAAGCAGTTCAGTACAGATGCCTTCTGTCCATTCATGACTGGGTTGATAGTAAACATTTACTATGTCCAGATTATGAATGCACAGGAAGCTTCTGTACTGAGTGCTTTCTGTTCATTGAGTAAATCGATTTTAAAAGGGAAATATCAGGGGCCTGTTTAGACTTCTGATATTTCCTCAAAGCCCCTAACAGTAAAGCAAAACAAATAAATACAAATAAAATATTAAAGAAAAACTATTTAAAACATTTTTAAAAGGTTGGAAAAAAAGTAATTTTCGGTTTCGGCTTGGAAAAGTTTTCAATTTCGGTTTTGGTCTAAAAATTTCATTTTGGTGCAACCTTAATTCAGTGCTTTGGTACAAAGTCTACAGAATATTGGCAATTTTGATGGGTACGCATATTCCTCTCAATCCCATTGAGGCATTACTTAATGTAAAACCACCAGCTTTCTTCTATACAATCCCAGCTCATATTACATATCCTCACAGCAACTAAATGAACCATAGCGAAAGCATCATTACAAGATTCCCTCTCGATAACAATAGTTAAAAACAGCGTTTATTTGGCTTTTACCAATGAAAAATTTACTGCCAGGCTGCATGATAAGATGCCTAAATCCGAGAAACTCTGGGAACCTTGCATAACGCATTTTCTGCCCCTTCCTTTGACAGGCATCTAATAAACCTTTAAAACCTATTTTATGCTTTTCCTAGTCGATAATAATGTATGGGTTGTACCGGGACCGCACTCTCCCTTTGTTCAATTTTTTTCTTTCTTTTCCTTCTTTTAATTTTTTTTCTTCTCCCTTCCGCTTATATTTGAGACTTCCTTCATATTTGACATCTGCTACATTAGGAAGATGTTAAATATTAGGGTTGCACAGATACCAATTACAGTACTCGGTACAAGTACGAGTACATGTACCGATACTTTTGAGCTCCAAGACTAGACTAGAGAAAAATGCTAAAATTAGGATGCAGCTGTCATTTGTAAGGAGCACACGGAGCTCCTGGGATTTGTACATCTCTGTTTTAATGTATGATTTTGTTTTTATAAATATATATTAGGGATGCACAGATACCAGTTTTGCGAGTACGAGTACTGGTACTTGCCCAAGTACTTACATGTACGAGTACTGATACATTTTTGTTTATTCTCATGTGACAGTTTTTCTAAAACAATACAGACTAATGATTTCAGGACAGTGGTGGAGTGCCAGAGCCAGGTCCCAGCTGCAACTGCTGCAACCCTGGTAGTTCTCATGAAAATGCTAAGTATCTGCACTGGTACTCGAAAAGTATCTGTGCATCCCTATTAAATATCCATCCCTTACTGTCTTTATTAATAAAATGGACACATTAACATTTTCCTTCAATTGATACTATCAGATGTTGATGTTTCTGTTGTTCTGTTTTTGTATATAATTGAACTATAATTGTTACCTTTGTGAAACTAATAAAAAATTATTTCAATGTAAAAAAAAAGTTCCTGGTTGACTGACAATTGAAGGATCAAATGACAGCTTGATCTGCAGGGACCAATGCATGGGTACTTCTCTGCTTCAATGCCCTGAATCTCTAAGTCATTGAGCGTGCTCAATCCTAAGTCTTGAAGGGGCATGCTTCATGTGCATGTTGTAGAAGTCTCCATGCAGCAGAGTCACTTGGGCACCAGAATCACGGAGAGCTGTCTTGTACCACAGGAGAAGGGTCTATCAGAGTGTCAGGGACTTTGGTAGGGGATGTTAAGTTAGCCAGTCTAACTGACTGGATTTGTAAGCTTCTTCTTCTCCTTGAATGTTCACAGTGATGCCCCAGATGAGGTTTTGGAGGTTGGTGGACATCTCTCTCACGCATTGCTAGAGTAGGTGCCTCTAACCATCTCTTTGAGGTATTAGACAATGCTCTGCTTAAAGGTTCAGGCCTTACCTTCTGTTTTTGTTTCGTGCCTTATGTCGAAACTGGTTAAAGAAGAACTATGAGGCGAGTGAAAATCACTCAGCCTCATAGTTCTAGCCGACCTGTGACAATTAAACTGTCACACGTCGGCTCAATAGATTGGGAAGTGAGCGAACACATACCGTCGCTCGCTCACTTCTCGATCTATCACTGCAGAGAGCAGTGACTGTCACTCACGGCTCCCTGCAGGGATTCCCCCCCTCCCCTGTCCGATCCTCCAGCGCTGACTGGCGGAACGGACGGGGAAGGGGGTGGGTACAGCTGGCTCTGCCTCTAGATAGGCAGAGCCAGCTGTCAATCCCGCAGCTGGGTGGATCTCGACAGTAAAGTCGGGATCCGTCCCGGCTGCGGTGTCTCAGTCAGTATACAGCGAGCTGCAGCTCGCGATATACTGAGCTTTAGGTGGCGGGAGGACGCTAGTTTGTGTCCTCCCATTACCCTTAGGAGAACTATGGGGAAAAGCCTTAACCCCATAGTTCTACTTTAAGGTAGTCAGTCACCCAACTGGATCTCTGAAGTTTCTCTGCAACGTCTGTCAACCTTCCTTCCTTTCTGGCAGACTTGGGCAGATGCATTTGTAATGGCCTGCACCTTCACAATTGTAACCGAGCACTGAACCCGTCAACTTCTTAGCTGGAACAGATTGAGGCATCTTGCCAAGTTGCTCTATGATTATTTTTGTTTGCAGAGTCACCACCTGTGCCTTCATCGCAGTTACTTCTGAGTTGATATCAGCTACACTCATCTGTCTAACGCCATCTGGCAGTTCCTGATCTTACTGACCTGACAGTGGTGAATGGGCCCAACAAAGCAAAAACTGC